TCCACTGCTGCCAGGGATACAAGGTGAAGAGTTCAAAGGTGGAAAGGGGGACAGATACCCTGGAACCTCTCTAGTAAAGGGCAGCTTCTGAAAGGACAGGAGTACAGCAGCACATAGCCAGCTCTAAAATCAGGAAATTGCCCAGAGCCTCAGGGTAGGGGTTCCTGAGCAGGCCTCTTGGGAGGGGGCCCTGTGACTGCTCCCACAGCCCTGGAAGGTGGCCACCTGCTGATCTGGTTTGTGTAAGCACAAAGAGGACTCTAAGACACCCACTATCCAGATTCTCCTGCCCCCTGTTGCTCATGCTAAGAAGGGTCAGACCTCCCACTTAGTCTCCTAGAAAAATCTGAGTGAAGTTCCTAGCATGCCCACTCCAACCCCAGACACTAAGTAGCTTATGCTCCTCCTCCAGCAGGTAGATCAGGAGGTTGATAGAAGACCATTTTCTGTCTCCCTGTTTGATGTATGTTTTTCCATGTGGAAAAAGAAATCCAGCTTTATTACCTGTTTAATTTTATCTTCTACAAATCTGTATTGCTTTTTAAAATTAAACAAAGACAGATTCTGTAGTCAGATTAGAGCCAAATCCAAATTCCAGCTTCACCACCTACCAAGTGCAATAGTGTAAACAGCCCCTAGGCAAATAACATTCCTTCTCTGGAAATGGCAACTGCCTCTTAAGGTCATGCAGCATTGAAAGAGTGATATGTAAAGAACTTAGTGTAATGCCCAGCAGGTAATAAATATTTAATAAAGATGATCACTTTTTTACCATTGTTCTTAGCATTTTGACGAGTATATAAATTAATTGATAACTAACATTTAAACTTGTGTGTATTCATCCATACACATCTGAAACTTATGTTCAGATGTGTATGGATGAATGGAGAAAAGTTTTTTTGATCTGAGCCATTTAGATTTTCACTTTATCTTACTTAACTCTTAATTAGTTTACAAATTTATGATACTACATTTTCACCAGCTCCTTCATTATCTATACTTTCCTGAAACATTGTTGAATTATAGCATTGGCTCATCACCAGTGCTCAAAATAAATGTGGATGGATAGCAGAACAAGGGGTGGATAGACAGATGGTGGATGGACGGTGCTGAGACAGTGATTGAAGTAAACACTCTTGATCCAGACTGTCCTGGTTTCATGAAATGCAATAAGGAAGAGGCCAAGGGACTGGATGATGTGATTAAGTACCCAGAGGCCTTGATGCAGAGCAGAAGCAGCAAAAGTGAAGGGAAGTAGAGGCTGCAGTCAGAGGCTGAAGGAGGACAGTGTGAAATCCTAGAGCAGGGGTAGTTCCTGGTAGTGGAAGGCCCAGGGAGCAGCCCTGGAGATGTGTATACAAGGACAGGGTCCTAGAGGTTCTGGAGTCCTAGGAACTCAGTCTGCATCATTGGATGGTTGGTCCCTAGGCCTTTTGTGCAATTTCAAGCTGGGACTAAAGTGACCTGAGTTAATGAGGTTTTACTCTATATTCTATTAAATTGTTCCATCGGAAGGAGGAGAATATGTAAAATTGAATTAAATATAAAACAGTAACAATACACTGCACAATGGTATTTATAATGCTTGCCTTATTTTTACCTTGGCAAATGAGTGGTGTGTTGCTTAAGGGTCATGTGTGTGGTGTGTGCAAGAGAATGTGCCCCATTTGCTTTGCTGTCTGACCTTTTCAACATTTTAGCCCCAGGCTAGTTGTGAAGCAACTTATATAGAGTAAATTGTCACCAACAACCAAAGACACTCTGTTCCCCACTTCCACTTCAAATACTTGAAATTCATACGCTGAACAAAAATTCACAGTAAATTTTGCTTGGCAAGCATGGCATTAAATTTGTGCATGGGAGGTTTTATTTATCATTTCTAGTCATAGTACAATTTTCCCTCAGTGTCCAAGGGAATTTGGTTCCAGAACCCCCTGTGGATATCAAGGTCAATGGATGCTCAAGTCCCTTATATAAAATAGCATAGTAACCTACCCACATCCTCCTGAATGGTTCACAACATCTCTAGACTATTTATAATACCTTATACAACATAAATTCTATGTAAATAATTGGTATACTGTATCATGTAGGGTATAATAACAATGAAAATGTTTGTAAATGTTCAGTACAGATGCATTTTTTTAAAAAAATATTTCCAATCTAGGATTGATTGAATCCACAGATGCAGAACCTGCAGATATGAAGGTATTATATTGTTGAGTACTTATGTATCAGGCACTGTTCTTGATACTGATTGTTAAAGGATTATCAAATCATGGAGTGCATTATTGAGACAAACTATGAGATGACTTTCTCTTTTAAAACATTTTTTAAATGACAATCTATATTTAGTTATGCACAGAGACAGACAGATGGAAATGTTAATGATTGTACCTAATGATTCCAAGATGACCCCAAAGAGATACATCTTGTAACCCTATCTATAACTGTCCTATTGAGGTGCCCAGGGAGGAGTCATAAAGTCAACTCAGGAGCTCACAGAAGTTCAAAGCAAGTGTTTTATGCTTTCCATGGTCCAACCCAATATCTTACACCTCATTTTCCTCCCAAACTCTTTTCTAGAGTCTTTTGGAACTGGATTTGTGAATATATATATATATATATATATATATATATATATATATATTCACAAATTGGGTATATATATATATATACCCAATATTCTCATTCCTCTGACAACTCCCTGTCTTCCTGGTTTTGTTGAAATTCAGCTTTCCCCTGAGGCCACTACTTTCCCTATAACTTCTCAAGGCTGTGTGCTCTCTCCATCCAATGATATCTCAAGCCTAGGAGCTGGGCTGAGTATCCTTTCTGCTACTGTTACTAAATAGCATCTGTGACCTTTTCTCTCTCAAAATCTCCTGTACAAAGAGAAAATAGCTGAACAGTAGGTCAGGAGACAGCAAGCCCCCCACCACTGCCACACCCTACCCTACCATCCCACCACAAACCTCATGAGCACTTACTCTTCATTGTAGATAAGAATTATGGCCAGAAGATTTCAGTCTAAAATCAGCCTCAGACTATATATAGCTAATAGTGCTATACTGTATACTTGAAATGTGCTAAGAAAATGGACCTTAAGCTTGCTCATCCCAAAAATAATTTTAAAAAGATAACCATGTGAGGTGTTAACTTACTTGATTGTGATGATAATTGCACAATGTAAACGTACATCAAATCATCATGTTGTACATCCTAATACATACCATTTTTATTTATCAATTATACATCAGTAAGCTGAAAAAAACATATCCTCAGCTGTTAGTCCTCAATCAGAGGACTAACAGTGTGCCCACTGAAAACTGAGACAGGTACAAGGCCACTCAGTTGTCAGGCCTTCAAGCCTCCTGATCCAAGCCTGGAAATCTTTAGCACTAGATTACAACAAGTCACCACCCCTTCGTTTCCGCCCCTGTAACATGACCCCATTTCCAGTGCCTCCAACAGCAGCTCTGACCAGCTAAGAATCTGAAAAAAAAAAACATAGCAGAAGCAAATATTTACCCATTCACTGGCATTTGTGCTGGACAGGGTAGGCTGTGCCGAAAATTATGAGGCTGGAAAAACTGCTTTCTGGATCTTTCAGGGCAATCCACTCCCCAACAGGCACTAACCTCACCAGAAAGATGCCTCAAGAGCATAGGAAGCCCGCCACATAGGTGGCCCACCCACCTCTTCATCTCAAGAGGGCTTCAAGCCTGTGGTTCACACCAGGTTGGAAATAGCAAGCCACTTCTCCCTATCACATACCCTGACATTCCTGAATTTCATGTGGATCAATCAGGACTTTTTTCTCAATGAACATGATCTCAGATACCATTACTCGATCACAAATTGACCCATGAGATGAAAATTATTTTTTGTCCATGTGTTAAGTAATTTTTAAGAATCCATACATGCCTGATTCCGTAAAGACCAAGACACCAATAAAATTACCAAACATCAGAATCAAAGAGCAAGCATGAAGTAAGAGGGAAATCTGTGGGCAGAAATCTCAGACTAAGGATGCCTATTGTAAATAGATGGGAATTTTTCTCTCAGCTTCCTGACAGACAACAAATATTAAAAGGAAAAATAGGTTATGAAACTCTAATTAACCAAGCCCCCACTTCCCCTTTTTAAGGAAGATGGGACAATCTAGACAGCACTGCCTCACAGATTTCCAATAAGGCCCATGAAGCAGCTTATTGGGCATTGTCTTCATTCACCAAGGCAGTGTTTCTCAAAGTTCTCTAGATGGCAGAATTAGAACAATCTGGACTGCTGGTTAAAATGCAGATTCCTGAGCCTCATCCACCTTCTGAATGAGGCTGTGAGATGGGCCTGGAGATCTGCATTTTAAACGCACTCCCTACCTGATTCTCTTCTACTTCTGCAAATTGGAAAACAACATTACCAAGATGTAAATAGATGACAAAGTTTTTACATGCTGGCCTTTCCCAGCCTTCCTTGCATCATGTCAGGGACCAATGACTGAACTTTGAGGAGTCTCCAATGATGGAGCTCCTGGCCTCGGAGTCTGGACAGGGAGATATTTAGAGGCTGCAGAAGCTCCCCAGCCATCTCTGGTGGGGAAGCCTGGCTCTCTTTATGCATTTGAGCTTGGAGTGGGTGAACTTTTCTGCTGGCAAAAGGCTACAGACAAGGCAGCTCCATCTCAGCCCTCCTGGCATGCCCACTGTCTGCCATGGAAGCCCAAGGGAGCCACTAGTCTACCTTAGATACAGTGATGTTGGCTTGGCTGACAACTAAGCCAGGTGCCCCTACTCTCTCCTTTCCCTATCCATATGATGGGACAGGTAGAACTCCAAGCCCAGGAGTTCCAGATCCAGCCAGATGGCAAAAAACCCAGATGAAGGAGCCATGTTTCCCTCCACCTCCTGTTTGAGCCTACCCACTCTCCCATGCAGGCTGTGACGTGCAGGGATTTGTCTTAGGGAGTCAGTCATGTGCTCCTTCCTCTCTCTCCACAGGTTTGGAATAAATTGCCTCATTCAATTTGAAGACTTTGCCAATGCCAATGCCTTCCGCCTGCTCAACAAATACCGCAACAAGTACTGCATGTTCAACGATGACATCCAAGGTAGGCTTCCACCCTACAAAACCACTGGGGACTAAAACCTGCCTTTCCACAAGGCTCACCTGGATGCCAAAGCAGGGCAGAGGTGTCACCTCATAGCCAGTTCATTCCAAGCAGCTGTCGGAGACAGAACATTAGACTTGGATTCAACTCCCACTTGGCTAACTCTTAGCTCTATGACCTTGAACAAGTCTCTTAACTTTGCTAAGCTTCAGTTTGCTTATCTACAAATTGGAGATCATTACTACTTCAGAGGTAAGAATGATGTGATTTAATGAATGTAAGAAATTCCAAACAATGCTGCCATTTACTGGTACTTGAATAAATCCCTTCTCTGACCAATTTTATTCTCTAATCTATAGAGATGACAACAGTCACCTCAGGAGAGTTTTGTGAAAATTTAATGAGCTGGTATAGAGAACGTACTAGTACCTAGGACTCCATCAGACCAAAGCATCCATTGCCAAAAAAAAAAAAAATTGGTCATTCACAACCATAATAACCTCTTGGATTTTCCAAAGACAAGGAGTATTCCAATCAAGGAGTCGGGACTATTTCTCCCATAAACTTGGCTGGAATATGTGCTGTTGAAAGGATAAGCCTGAGAGACCCTGGAACCAGGGACTTAGAGCACTTCTAAAGCCAATGTGAAGCACCTTCTGTTTTAGGGTCCACTTAGCCACTTATTATAAGGCCCAGAAATACTTGAAGGCACTTGCTTCTTGCTGTGGAGGTGCCAGTATCTGAAGCTGGAACAGGAAGGGTGGCCTCCCAAGGATGATCTCATCCAATCCAGAAGTTCCCAGTGAGGAGCACTGGGAACCATTCCTAGCATTTTGTAAGGTCCAAGAGAACACTTGATGGGTCCACATAGGTTATTATTTAGCAAATGAAGTCTGACAGCCAAAACCTGTTAAAACCAAAGACACACATCAAATAAAAAGAATGAGTTGGTGGGAACAAGTCTTGGTCCCTGAGAGTAAAACATGGGTCAACATCTCATTAAACACGTTTCCTCTAGAGTCCCAAAGAGGTCTCAACTTGTCATCAATCGAATTCCCTAACTTCCTAGAACTGAGGGACCAGCCGAGATGAGCTAGTAAAACTAGTTAAGGTTTATAGTTGAAGATTTATGATACATCAAGCACTGTTTTAGGAACTTTATACATTTAATCCTATGAGGTTTTGGCATCTGTGTCTTGTGAATGAAGTAACTGAGGCACAGAGAGAATAAGTAACTCAGCCATTGAGTGTACAATTGAAGTTTGAACGCACACTTTGGGAATCTAAATTCCAAGTTCCTAACTACTTACTATGCCATTCTAGAGTTTATACTCATCCCACAAAACCAAGAGCCTGTGATCCATATGTGGGGTATAAGAAATGTGATGAATTAGTTTTTTTTAGGTTTGTTGTGAATTTTCAAGAGGTAGGATAGCATGGTTATAGTACATTGTTAGATAATTGAGTTCAAATACATGACTTCAGAGCCTGAAAAGTGAGGGTCCAGAGAGAGGGAGACCCAGAAAGGCAAAGCTGGGCCATAGCTAAGCCCCTGTTCTCACAGCCTCTCCATTCTGTCTGCCCCTCACCCTGATGGCTGAGCCTGGAACAAGGCAAGCCCAGCCTCTCCTAGACAAGCCATCACACAGACAGGAGAGTCCAGTCGCAGAAGCCATCCTTTCACTGCCTGCCAGTCACTTCACTGTCAGTCCAGGGGAAGGGGTGTGCCTGTGGCCCTGGAGGAAGCACCTGCCAGCTAGCCCCATCACGGCACTCACCCATGAGTCAGCAGCAGGATAGCCATCCCGTGCCTTTGTGCTGCCTAAGCCAGAGGGGAGGAGTAGAAAACAAGTCCATGTGGGCGGCACACCTGGTGCACAGACTCCAGATGTACAGACACACAGCACCATGTGTATACAGCCTCATAAACGTGTACAGGAACATACCCAGCCGGCCCTGCCATCTATCAGTTTCCATCTGCCCCCACACTACTGCCAGAATGTAACCCTAAGATGGAAACACTAGTCTGCTACCCCTTGTTTGTGCGAAAGTTCATACTCCTTCACTCAAGTCTATGGCTTTGAGGTCTCTCCTCTGTCCTCTGACTCTCCATTTTCACTCCTATAATCTCCTTACCAGTCATTTCTCCCTGCCATGTGAAAGTCTGGCTCACCCTTTCCCATCATCTTTGCCTGAGTAATACCTTTACCCTTCAAGACACAGCTCCAGGTCTCCTGCCTCTGTTCCTCTGAAACAGAAGGTGTTTCACATTGGCTTTAGAAGTGCTCTAGGTCCCTGGTGCCAGGGTCTCTCAGGCTTATCCTTCCAGCAGCACATATTCCATTCAAGCCCAGGGAAGGAATAGTCCTGATTCCTTGATTGGAATACTCCTTGTATTTGGAAAATCCAAGAGGTTATTATGGTTGTGAAAGACCATTTTTTTAATTTTTTGGCAATGGATGTTTCGGTCTGATTTGGGGGCCCACTCAGGTGATCCCTCTGTACAATCTCTTCCCTCACTGTACCTGGGATGCCTATATTGTATTGTTTCCCCTACAAGATGATAAACTTCCAGTGGTAGCTACCAGATCGTATCTCTTCTTGTTTCCCAGCTCCCTGCACAAAGCCTGGCACATTATAAATGTTACTAAATGTTAAAAGAGTGAGTGAATGATGTCTCCACATACAAATGGACATTCTCATAATTTCACCTACTCATTCATGTGGGAATGTCTACACTGGACACCTGCTCCACGGCTTCTCTCTTATCCCAGTTATCATACATATACTCATGTATAAATGCACCCCCATGTGCTCTCATGCTCAGATGTATGTATATATTCACATGTGCACACCAACATGCACACATAGGGAGATTTTTAAAAATGAAATCAATTCATTTGTTTAAATTTGTTGGTTTTTATGTCCTACCTATGAACTCCCAGGAAAAGTCAAATTGAATAGTTTTCTGGGCCTCACAGAAAAAGAAAGAGAATTTTTCCATTCTTTTATCAGAAATAAAGACTGAAGACATTCATCTAGAACTCAATAGAACCAGAATGGCAGGAGCTCTATTATTACTCCTGCCTTTGATGAACACAGTCTGATATTTAGGTATAACCACATAATTAACAATAAAGACATGGTCATGGAGATACACCACCCAGATACTCCTTCAAGGAAAGAACTGTTACCCCAGCTCACTGCGAGGTTACCAGCACATCATGTAGAGGCTCAGCTATAGAGATCCACCTTGCCCGTGGTCCTACCTGGCCAGAAGCTACCCTTACTCGGTGATAAGTTAATACCAAGGCCCAACCATTTCAGTCCAGTGCAGGACAGAGCTCCCAATGGGGGCCAAGATGCTAGGGCCTAGATCATAACTGAGCTTCTCTCTCTGTCTCATGTTGCTTCCTTCCCCACCCTCTTAAAAACATCCTGACACTCATGTCTCAAAATCTTCCCAGAGGATACAAACTGTGCCACATAATGCATTTTGCATGGACATGAAATTTCAGGTTTCAGAGTGCTTCTTGTCCATACTATATCACAAATTCTTGGCCATACCCTGCTTCTCCTCACGGTGGGACAGAGGTTGCCTTCCAACGTCACTGGCGAGGACACTAAAGTACAAGGGGTGAAAGCTTGTTCCAGGTCACTTAGCAAGACAAGCACAAAGCTGGGACTATACCCAGATATTTCTGATGGAATTCTCCTCTCTCTCCATGACATCAGGCTACCAATTGCTCCCCAATATGTGAGATGGTGGGATAGATCCTCTTGCTGAGAGTTACATTCCAGACTCACATGCTGTAGGCACTGCTGCTCCCTCCCCATAGCCTGCTTCTGTGATCCTCTGAATGTGTGAACACTGGATGTGTGAGCTAGGACAGGCCTAGTTCATCCCCATAGGTCCTGGAGACAGATTCTCAGAATCTTCCTGGAACCCACAGACTTCAGGGATTAGAACCAAGTAGCCCCCATGAAAATGAGATCATGCTTCCTTCTCTGAACACCAGCCTGGACTCACATTCTTGGTGAAAGAAAGAAAGAACTGAAGTCCTCAGGAGCCTCCAAGGCTGAGCTCCATGAAGGCAGGACTGTGGCTTGGTGCTGCATAGGAACTGGGACACATTAACTGAACTGTCTCCCAGCAAGACCCACTGCACCATGAACCTCAGAAGCACTGCCCCCATAGGGCTGGCCACAAGGCTGGGCCACTGCACTTAGAGGTAAGAGCTCCCCAGGGCTTTTGGTTGTCTCCTCTGCTCCCACCCCAACTCAGACTCAAGAAGCATCGGGCCAGGCCAGGCTGATCCTTGGTGAGCTGGGTTGCTGATGCTCTGACTCATTGCTGGCAGCCTCTTCAGGAATTTTGGAATAGGCAGAATCTCCGGTGACTTTTGTTGTTTCAGCTGGAACCAAAGAAGCATCTCTACTCTTATGGGAGGAAAGAGGCCTGGAAGGGGAAAGGCAGTAGGAATGGTCATGCTGGGGGCAGGCCAGTTTTGACCTTGGCAAGGAGAACATGCAAGGAACCAGGTACTAAGCCAGAATGCTACTGGCGCCCTTGGGCTTCAAGCTGACCACACAGAGTGGCTGGGGTCAAGAAAGTCTGATTGACTTATCTGCTCCAGAGAATCCTCTACCCCACCAGCCTTCCCTGGACTTGCCTTGGCCCCAGTCCTTCCACATCCCTGGAGCCAGAGAGCTTGTTTGTCAGGGTGTCCTTTGCTACATCAGGCCTGTGTCACTCCCCTTCATACTTTTAAGCCTTAATTTGTGGGCCTGGATGTTCAACAGTCAGACGTTGGACAGAGGCAAGTCTAGATCTGAATCCTTTCCACTTTGTGAGTTTGACCAAGTGGCCTAAATTCTCAGAGTATTCTTTTCCTCACCTGCAAAATGGACAAAATGGTGTTAACAGCCATGTCTACCAATCAGCTGGTACCACCAGAATGGCCTGGATGCTTTCCAAAGGCCAGCATCTGTTCTGGTTA